GTTAGCACACACACATATATTTCTCTGTTCTGTCAACTGAGAGGGTCTTAAAGCAATGACACCCCAGTGGCAAAGCACACTCATCACCCAAACTTTATTTCTGACACCATCATCCAATTAAAGGAACCAGTGATCCTTGGAGAAATATCACATTCTGAGTCTGGGACAATTGATATATGAAATAAGTCTGTAATAACTTGCAGTGCTAGAAAGTAAGGAAGTGACCCCCCACCCCCTGCCAAAAAAAAAGAATATATGATTAAAGAGGTATATCAAGTGACGCAGGAGCCAATTGAAAGAGCTCTCAATGGCCAAAACTGGACAATGTGACAAAATTAAGTAGTATTAGATTATAACCTAAAAAATAAAATAAATCTCCTCACTGACATAAATAAATGATTAAGTACATAAACAAATGGGGGAAATATATATCTCGCTCGTACAAAAAAAATTCCAAGCAATTTGTGAGGATACTTTCTACTCTTTAATTTGTGGGCTGCACATTGTAACTTACTTTCTAAAACTAAACTTGGAAATAAGGGGAAAAGAGAACCTTGACAAACACTACCTCGACCAGGTGATGAAGTTCAACAACAGTGAAAAGCTAGTGGGTATCTTGATATATTTTGATATAAACGATATTTTACCCCACTGATCTTCCTCTCAAAATCACTTAATTCTAGTCTAATAAAGGGGCAAATCATCAGGCCAATCTCATTTGAGGAACACTTTACAAAAACTTGAACAATACTCCCCCCCAAATTGTCAAGTTATCAAAACCAAGAAAAGCCTGAAGAACTATCACAGCTGAGACCCCTAAGAGACCTAACTAGGCATAACTAGCAAATGTAATTTGGGGTCCTGAATGGGATTCCATGAGAGAAAAAGAACATTAGGTAAAACTAAGGGAATCTAAATGAGATCTGAACTTTAGTTAATATTGATTCATTAATTGTAACAAGTGACCTTAAAAATGTAAAATTAATGATAGGCGAAATTATGTGTGGGTATGTGAAGACTCCCTGTACAATATTGGCAGTTTTCTGTAACCTACAATTGTTCTAAAAATTTTTAGTAGTTTTTAAAATTAAAAAAATAATAACGTACAGAAAATCAATTCACCAAAAAGTAGTTTACAGACCTAGGAGAAAGAAGCAGGACATGGTCAATGAGACATCAAGAATTTTAACCTACTGTTGAAATTATGAAAGAAGATAAGTGACAAAGGAATAAACAAACAAACAAACAAAGATGGCTACACTGTATAGAGAATCTAAAAACACACCGATTTACCTTTCGCAACAGTGCCGACATTGCCAATCTCAGTGTCACCCTCCAGAATCTACAAATTCCATAACTTTCCTGACTCTGCTCCAGCAACAAAAACCCTGATGTTCTGAGGTACATTCAATCTACGGGATAAAGAGGGCCAAAATTGCTAGAAAGCCCAAATTACTTGCTTAGATGCATAACTAAGCCAAGAAAGACTACACAACTTTTACTCAATCAGAATGCTAATGTTCTGTAATCCATTTATTTGACTCATGTTTTATTCATTATTGCAATAAATCTAGGCAAGGAAGATTATGTCACTTATCGACTCCCCAATAACTCCAAGAATGAATTCCAGGAAACATCCCCATGGCAACTCTGATCAATATGAGTTTCCATGTAATATCCTAACGTAGGAATATTCTTAGCTAAATTGCTCAGATTATTACCCATAAATAGTTACAAATTTCTTACTATATCAGAAAACATTTTAAGTGCTATACAAGTAGTTTTTAAAAAAATATTTACTACAATATTTTGTACTGGGTATTATTCTGCTCATTTTAATGGAGGAACTAGAGATCCAGAGATAATTTTTATGCCCAAATTCATATATCCATTAGGTAGGAGAGATAGGATTCAAGCACATGCAGTCTCTCTTTAAGTCCATCCATTTAGCCAGTTTCCTTTATCTTACACTTTATTCCCTAGACTTCTGTCTTTTTTTCCCAGTAAATTAAACCCTATCTAATTGTACCATTAATAAGAACCAGAAAGAAGAGAGAGAATTTGTGCTCAAAACAACTGGTCTTTGTTTTATTATATTATATCACCCACCTAAGTTCCAATGAATAGTCTGTAAAATGATGGATCCTAGTTGGGCTTCAAGTTTTTTATGAGGTTTAATTTAAGGTTGAATTGTGTTTTGAACTGGGTAGGAGCAAAAAGGTAGGTAAGTTTTGGAGGAATTGGTCAGATCAGAGCAATATAAACAATACGGTAACAAAAAGAAAAAGCCCAAATGACTTGCCAAACCATTATGTTAAATTCTCTCAGGTTCTCTGTGACCTGGACATATCTGTGGGGCCTATGAGAGGAAAGTTAGAACTAGAGTGATCTCGAGGAGAAACAGTGGAAGGTAAGGCCTTCTCATAGCCTCTCCTGCCTAGAGAAAAGACAATGCATTATGCGTCATTCCAAGCTTGGTAATCAGCTTTCAGAATCAGGACTTTTTTAAAAAAAAATCAACAATGATATTATACTTCATATGAGGCGTCTAGCTCAGTGCCTCTGGGCACTTCTGTTCTCCAGAGAGCACCAAGTTTGTATAAATCTCTCATTTCAGTCAGAGTGGGTGAAAATGGAAACATTCTGGGTGGGGCTGGGGAACTAGCTCATCCAGAAAGTTTTGCTGGTAAGTCTGACCTTGGGAGCAGAAAGGAAGTTAAGGCAGGAGCCATTTTACTGTGCTTATTTTATTGAGATTTAGGTTGAAGAGATAAAATACATAACCAGAATGAAGGAAAAAAAAAAAGGAAAACTTACATGGAAGGTATCAGTGAGCCCAGAGTGTAAGAAGATAATCATTTACATAGACTCAGATTCTACTCCAAGAAAGATTTTATTAAATCTTGTTCTTAAATATTTAGATAAGTTGTGTGTGTGTGTGTATGCATATACAGATACCTTTTTAACTTTCCGTTGTCTGTTTTTCTCTAAATCTTTGCTATTCAACCAGTTTTTCTTTTGCATATTGTGATTATATCTTGATCTTCAATCTGCTCTTGCCTTCTTTTACTGTCACCATTCTTGCAGAACTTTACCTAACTTTGAATATCTCTATGTCCTCCATTCATCTCTCAAGATAAATATTTCACAGTTCATGACTAGATAACATGATGGTAAAAAGTACCAGATTAAAAATCGGATTTCCAAAGCTATTGAAAAGAAATTACTTTTAATGGCTTGACTCATCATTTACAAAACCAATTCCACAGTTTTCTAAACATTTCCAGATCCATATATATGCAGGATCTTTGAGCAATAATCTTATCTCAATTTAATTTCTATAAATTGCTTTAAATTTTTTCCTAATTAGTAGTTAACACAAATATTGTAATAGCAATGTAACACCAACTGGTAGAAAAATTTAAATAATTTAGTACTTATGTTATTAGAATTTCCTAATTTATTTTGACCTCCTAATGTTGCTCTATATTTGTTTATTATTCCTAAACTAAACTTGTAAAATATTTATTATTATTTCAGTATTATATATGGAGAAATATGGCCCGTAGAAGATAGTTATTTTCTCTATTGTGTTCTATTTACCTATCGTTGTGCAAATGCCACTTTGCCTTGATTACTATAGTTTGATAAGTTCGAAGTCCTGTATTATAAGTCCCAGTTTTGTTATTCTTTTTCCAATATATTTAGGGTATTCCTATAATTATTTTAGAATATACTTAAATTTCTTGGTGTTGTTTGAAGCTGTTCTAAATGTATTGATCAATTAAGAAAGAATCGACATCTTAATATATTTCAGTCTTCCAAACCATGGATATGTTATATAATTAAAACTTTTCTTTTCTTTTTAATTTCGTTCATGTTTTGTAAGTGCTTGTCGTTAAGTTCTCCAGATTTTTTATGCCATTGTAAGTGGTATTGTAAATTTTTACAAAATTATAATTTAAATTTTAATTTTTATTTGTTTGCTAATAGCATACAGAAAAAGTATTGATGCTTATACCTGAGTAATAGATGAGCAAAATGATTGGTTCTAAATTCTTTGATTTTTTTGTAGATGTTCATATACATTATTTCAATATTTCATTCCAATATTAGTGCCTTCTTATTTCTTTTTTCTTGACATATTGACCTTGTTAGAACATCCAGTAAAATATTAAATATATGTAATCGATATTAGTTGATATTGAGGTTTTTCATAGATTCCTTTCACAAAATTGACTAAGTTTTATTTTATTTTTTTTGCCTGGTATACTGAAAGGTTTTTTTCAATATCATACATGAATCTTAAATTAATGACTACTTCTAACTCTATTAAGATTATCATTTTTTGCATTATTTTTTTATATGATGAATTACAGCTTTATTGACTGTTAAAGAAAAATACTAACCATTCATTCATCAACTACAGCATAAAAGCACAATTTCTTTAAAAACAGCTATAACCACAGTCTTGAGAGAGCAAATAAACAGAAAAATAATACCTGCAGAGTGGATAATATGACATGCAGATGAACCTTGTAAGTGGATATTTCTTGACCATCATATCAAAGTTTCTTTCTATTTTAATTTCATGTCCTATTTTAAAATAACATTTTGGGGAGTTTACTCTTATGTATCTGCTCAGCTAAGGTAACTCGAAAGTTACACAAGTTCTGGTTACTGAAAGGGTTCTCAGTTGAAACTAGCATATGTAGAGAGCATTTTACAAAAGAATGAGCTAAAGATAATCATTAATCACTACACCCCACTACCATTAGAAAAGATTGTTTCTAACTGCCACATCCTCATGGAATATTAAATTTTATGGGCAATAATTTTAATATCTTTGATAGTTAATTGCTCTCAAATTCCCTTCTATTACGTTCTTAAGAGTTTAATCAGAATGTTATCATATACAGTGATATCTGACCATTATATATGCCCTTATATCTCCCCAGAAATACCGAAGAAGACAAGAGAGTATTTTTCCAAGAGTTCTCAGGAAGATGTCCTCTGTCAATGATACTGCTTCACATCCCTCTGCCTTCCTTCTGCTGGGTATACCTGGTCTGGAAGCTTTCCATATCTGGATTGCCTTCCCTTTCTTTGTTGTTTACCTGATAGCACTTGTGGGGAATATCACAATCCTGCTTGTGATCAAGACTGAGCAGAGTCTTCATCAACCCATGTTCTACTTTCTGGCTCTTCTTTCATGTATTGATCTAGGCCTTTCCACTTCTACCATCCCCAAGATACTGGCCATCTTCTGGTTCAACTTTAGGGAAATAAGCTTTGAAGGCTGCCTCATGCAAATGTTCTTTATCCACACCTACACGGGTATGGAGTCTGATGTACTCCTGGCCATGGCAATTGACCGCTTTGTTGCCATCTGTTATCCACTGAGATATACCACTATTCTCACCAACAAAGTGGTAGCCATCATGGCCTCTGTTGCAGTTGGGAAGCCAGCTCTTCTTGCCGCCCCCTTTTGCTTTCTTCTCAAACGATTGCCCTTCTGTGGACACAATATTATTCCCCATACCTACTGTGAACACATGGGAATTGCCCGTCTTGCCTGTGCTAACATAAGAGTCAACATCATCTATGGCTTATTTACCATTGCTACCCTCATCTTTGACTTGATTCTCGTTGCCCTTTCCTATGTCCAGATTTTAAGAGCTGTTTTCCGCCTTTCTTCCAGGGATGCCCAACTCAAAGCACTTAGCACATGTGGTTCACATGTCTGTGTCATCCTAGCTTTTTACACCCCAGCATTTTTCTCCTTTATGACTCACCGGTTTGGTAGAAATGTTCCTCGCTACATTCACATTCTCCTAGCCAATCTGTATGTGGCTATTCCTCCTTGTTTAAATCCAGTCATTTATGGAGTCAGGACAAAGCAAATTAAGGACCAAGTTGTAAGAGTATTTGTGAAAAAAGTGTGACCCAAATGTATTTGTAAATTGATACATTCTTTCAGGCTAACTGTTTGCTTATCCATTTCTCAAGGTGCCTAAAACTGAAACTATGTAAAATGCACTGAGGCATTACTTAGCTTTTATCAGAATCTCCTAAACTCACCCTCAATAGTTCCTTTATGTAATTTGACTTTCAATATATCATACTATTTTTCTCATTGAAAGTGACCAAAGATTGTAGAGCCAAGTAAAAAATGTGAGGGGCAATATTGCTCTCCGTGTCAGTAGCAGAATTTACGTACAGGTTTGATAAAAAAGAACACTTCATTGGCATGCATTTTACTTTTTTCTAATTTTTTACATGTAGATGTCTAACTGTTCCAATATCATTTGTTGAAAAGTCAATCTTTGTTTCGTCATATTACCTTTACTCCTTTGTCAAAGATTATTGACTATATTTCCATGGGTCTATTTTTTGGCTCTCTATTCTGTTTCATTGATGTATTCATTTATTCTTTTGCCAACATCATACTTTCTTAGTTACTATAGCTTTATTTTAATTCTTAAAATCCAGTAATGTCAGTTATCCAATTTTATTCTTTTTATTCAGTATTATGTGGCTATGCCGAGTCTTTTTCCTTTCCATATAAATTGTAAAATCAGGCTTTCAATATTCACAAATCATTTGCTGTAATTTTCATTGAGATTGTATTAAATCTGTAGGTCAGTTTGTGAAGAACTGACATCTTGACAATATTGTCTTCCTACTCATAAGCATGTGGTATTTCTTTGTTTGCTTATTTTTTTGATGTTTCTTTAGAGTTTTGTAGTTTCTCTCAGATTGATATTGTACATATTTTTAAAGATGTATACCTAAGTATTTATTTATAGTTGTTAATGTAATTTGTATTGTGTTTTTAATTTCAAATTCCGATTTTTGTTATTGTTATATAAGGAAAAGATTAGCTTTTGTATATTAACCTTGTAACATGTAAATTTGCTAAAATCGATCATTACTAATAGGTGATTTTATATATGGTAAACATAGGCCTATGTTCACACAAAGTCTTGTACACAAGTATTCAGAGCTGGTTTATTCGTAATATCCAAAACCAGAATCCAGAAGGGTGATAGGTATGTGTTTCAGTGGTACATGAGGAAATTTGAAAGGCTGAAAGATATATTTATAATTTTTATTATTATAATTATTTCACATGTGAATACATATGGCAAAATATATTAAATTATACACTTTAAATTTGTTCTCGTTGTATGTCAGACATGAATAAAGTTGTAAAAGCATTTTAAAAAAAAATACTAATGACTGCCATTCTTACTCATAATATAAACCAAAGGCGTTAGTGTTACCCGGGTGTTCTAAATGTTTGGTACCTAAAATATCCTTGAACTTTTTGTCCTACTCATCTCTTTTTTTCATATTATTCTCGAAGTATATGGGCTTTCTTGTTTCTTTCAGAGTTCCTGGACAGTGAAAATTTTAGAGCTTTTGCTTTTCTATTTCCTCAGCCTAGAATATTATTTCATCTGAGATTTCCTTGTTAAATAAACCCTTCATTGCCTTCAAACATTTTCATCTGCCAAGTGATACTTTTCCTGACAACAATAAATATAAATATACCTTCTGTCACATACACAACACCCCCCCATTTACTTATCTTTGTTTTTTTTTTCTATATCAGTTATCTCTATTACATTATATTTATGATTAAAACTTTTTATTAGTAAGGTAGTCCAGTGTGGACAAGATGCTACGAGTGCACCACAAACAATGTCTCCCACAGATTAAAACTAAAATTTGGGAAAAATACAAAAACAGTTATCTCAGGATTCTATAAAGTTAGCAAATCAGGCAAGTTGAAACAGTGAGTCAAAATTTGAAGAGGTGACTAGTATCAAAAAGATTTTTCCTATGTTCTTATCTTCCATTGATTAGTGGGTAGGAACCCAGCTGTGATATAGCTAGTTATACAAGTAACAGAAGGAAAAAAAGGAAGGAAAAAGATTTTTCCTATGTTCTTATCTTCCATTGATTAGTGGGTAGGAACCCAGCTGTGATATAGCTAGTTATACAAGTAACAGAAGGAAAAAAAGGAAGGAAGGAAAAAGGAAGGAAGGAAGGAAGGAAGGAAGGAAGGCAGGAAGGAAGGAAGGCAGGCAGGAAGGAAGGAAGGAAGGAAGGAAGGAAGGCAGGAAGGAAGGAAGGCAGGCAGGAAGGAAGGGAGGAAGGAAGGAAGGAAGGAAGGAAGGAAGGAAAAAAGGAGAGAGAGAGGGAAGGAGTGAAGGAAGGAGGAAGAAAGGAAGGGTTGGTTCTAGAGATTATGTATGAAGCCCCTATTTTCTCCCTCCCTTCCTTCAGTATCACTAATTGCATCAAATGGAAGTGGTCTAAACACAGCAATTTAGGATAGAGATAGTGAGATTGGATAAAGGAGCAAGACCTAACTATATGGTATGTACGAAGATCCACTTTAAACATGAATAGATAGGTAAGTTAAAAAAATATATATATATAAAAATAAAAATAAAAATAAATATCATTCAAGCAGTATTTAAAAAAAGCCAAAGTGGTCGTATTAACAAAGGACAAAGTAGAATTTAGAATAAGGAATACTTTGAAAATAAACATGGACATTATAGAATAAAATAATCAATTCTCTAAGAAGACATAAGCATACTAAATGCATATGCACTTAATTGCAGAGCTTCAAATCACATGAGGAAAAACATGAAATTAAAAGGAAATATAACCAAATTTGCAGTTATATCTGGAGAATTCAAGATTCCTATTTTAGTATCCAATAGGAGAAGTATAGAGAAAAGTAACAGTGAAAAGATGTAGGATGCAACTAAAAAGTGGATTAGACTAAAATTTATAGCATTAAATACTAAGTGCACATTACTTACTTTTACTTACCACTTTTTTTTATTTGTTATAAACTCCACTAGGGGATGTCATTTTGTTTCTTTTGTTCTCATTTGGTTAATCTTATAAACTAATAAACATGTTTGAAAAAGACACTGAGCAAATACATACACAGGGGAGGGATAATATTGAAATAATCTTACCTTTATTGAGTGCTTAAATATGCTAGAAACAGTGCTAAACACTTTGTAATCATTAACATTAACATAGATATTATTATTTCTGTTTCACAAATGTTTCACACAGATAGTTGAAATTGTATATAACTTCACATACAGAATAAGAAGTAGAAGAATTGAGATGCTAATTCCTGGTTTTGCTGACCTTAAAATAGAAGAAATTTATACCAAAGACTTAAAGGGAGAGGAGAATAAGTAGAAAAGTAGATCCCAGAATTCTCAGTTGATTTTAGTTACGAATAATCGTACAATACTTTCTCGAATCTGTTTGGTCTTTACTCCGTAAATGATAGGGTTCAGCATAGGCGGTACCAACAAGTACATATTGGCCAACAGAATGTGGATGTGCTGCGGTATATGCTTACTGAAACGGTGGGTGAGGAAGGAGAAAAGAGCAGGGATATAGAAGGTGAGGATGACACAAACATGGGACCCACAAGTGCTGAGGGTCTTCAACCTGGCATCTTTAGAAGGAAGATTGAATACAGTATAGAGTATCTGTATATAAGACAGAGAAATGCATGCCACATCAGTCCCAACAATTAAGATAATGACTGCCAAACTATAAATACTATTGATGGAAATGTCGGCACAAGCCAATTTTACCACAGCCATATGCTCACAGTATGTGTGGGGGACAACATTGGTCCGGCAATACGGCCACCTCCGTACCAGAAATGGATGTGGTGTCATTAGCACTAACCCACGTAGAAGTGCCACTATACCAACCCGAGTCACCACAGAATTTGTGAGAATGGATGAGTGTCTCAGAGGATTGCAGATTGCCACATATCGGTCAAGGGCCATGGCCACAAGAAGCCCTGACTCTACCCCAGAGAAAGCATGGATAAAAAACATCTGAGTGAGGCAGCCATGGAAGTTGATTTCATGATACTTGAACCAGAATATACCCAACATCTTCGGAAGAATGGAGGTTGACAAGATGAGGTCTGTGATAGCCAACATAGAAAGAAAATAGAACATTGGTTCATGGAGAACAGCCTCAGTTTTAGTGATAAAAAGAATGAGTACGTTTCCCACGAGGGCAGCAATATACATTGAGAAGAAAGGGATAGATATCCAAATATGCATGTCTTCTAGACCAGGTATGCCCATCAGGATGAAGGTACTGGGACTTGCAAACGCAGTGGAGTTAAAGTCAAGCATGGTGATTATGGCTGCATGAGGACATACTCCTGCTCTGTTTCTCTCCTTTGTACCTAGAGTAATCAAATGCACATATACTCTGATAAATATATAATATGGAATTACTCAGTGTAAAACTACAACCAAGCAAATGTATTCAAATATAAAGTGCCCCTTGGTGAGCTTCTCTGAAATTGGAAGTATTTCATCCCTCATTGCCTGCTATTAATCTCATTAAGAGGTATTTGGGGTAGAGACTATCTTCTCTAACTGCTACTACTGTGCCTTATGCTCAGACACTTCAGAGCATTCAGCTTGATACTAGGTGTTCTGCATCTGTTATAATCAGGCTAAATGAAAATCTGGATAAATATCAGTTTCCTTACTTCCTAACATGTCAATGCTGAAAAAAAAAACCATACATACATACATACATACACACATACATGAATATATGAAAAATTTAATGGTTAGTCCTTTAGATATGATACAAATATATAATCTGGAATGCTCTGAGACATTAATTTATTCTCTCTATATATGGATATATATTCCCCAAGGAGTAAGTATTAAATCTTTCTTTTTATAATTTTTATATTGAGATACTAACTAGGGTGCATATGCTTCTTACTACACCTAAAAATGTGGATGACACCTTAGGAAAGAAAGATGGTGAGCTCTCAATCAATCATCAAGATTTAAAGTTAGCAACAGTTTCCACTTTTCCTGACGTAATATGTATCACAAAAATGCTGAGTCATTAGTCACTGCTCAATTGCTGATTTGGATAAAGTATGATGAAGTCACCATTATCACTCTTAAATTATAAAAGAAGAAACTTATACTTTACATAAGCTAAATATTCTTCCAAAGTCACATGATCAGCATGTACGAGGAGGAGATAACACATTCTTGTTTCACTCCAAAACTTCACCTTTGTTCTTCTACGTATACAATCAAAATAAAGAAAGCATTAATGTTTTTCACAGTTTTTATTGTGAACGATTATTGCAGAGTACCCAAAAACAATAATGACAGATGTTCTTATTTATTTTATTTTATAAATGTGGATTTATGGATTAACATGGTTTATAGCAAATCCATAAAATAATCCTAAACTTTTTGTATTCCAACACCTCAGTTGATATCAAGATGTTCATTGTGAAACTAGTGGTCAGTATGTTATTCCTTATGAATTATTCTCAAGCACAGAGAATATCCCTGCATACACTCCTTTTTCCAAAGTGAATACCAGTTGACTAGTGGACTAAAAATCCTGTAAGGATGCTTAAGGAAAACCTCCAGAGCATCCTGATCTAACATTGCAAGTGGCTTACACGTGGCAAGACTACAATGGTTTACCTGTCCCTATGAGGCAGTCCGGAGGGGTCTCTAACTTATCTTCAGAGGGACCACGTTGCCATTCTCTGCTCCGTATTCTCAATCTGTTTTGGGCACAGCCGATTCTCTAGAATCCACAGTAATTTTGAATATTTATTCCTCATCTCTAGGAAACTCTTCCTTAAAGTAGTATGCTACAGTTCCCTCATCACTGCCTATCACTTCTTTGGCTTGAGTGAACATAGATGATTTCTCTATGCCTCTGGATTAACTGTATTGTGTTGAATCAAAGACAAGAACTCAGAGATTTGAATCACTTGCTGCTAAGAAGTCTCATCGCAGGTTTATAACCCACTTGGGAACAGTCCCAGGGGTTCAAATTCTGCAACAGATGTTTTTCGCCTTCTGGTAAGTGTCTTAGTAAGTGTAAGTGATACCTGAGTGAGTACACATTTTCTCTATCACATGATGTCAGTTGGTAGCAATATTGGATTTGAGTAGATTAAAGGTACTTTTTAAAGAAATAGTTTGTTTACTCAAGTGCCTCTGCTCACATTAGTTCTGTTAAAATTAGTTCAACTAAAACTACTTCAGTTAAAATGAAGAATGTAGTCATATAGCGGACTTAGCTGAGAAAGCAACAAAGAAATAAAGTAAAAAATAGATCTCTGCGAAACTGTCTCAGACTTTACATGTATGGTTCTCCCTCCCTCTCTCTCCTTCTCTCCAGCCCTGAATATGTGCACAAAATATTCACATGTGTGAGTGTGTGTGTGTGTGTGTGTGTATAGTCTTATGCATCCACATATATATACATGCATTCACATTTATGCTTATATATACATTGCATATATGCACAGATTCAAAAAATTGCTATACCTATAAGTAGCATGGTGATATCATATATTACAAACAAAATGCAATTATACACACTTATGTATATTTGTGTATATGTATGATTATAACAATTTGACGATTAGTAAATATTCATTAAATAATTACTATGTACCTAGTCTATGCTAAATGCTTTGAAAACAGCACTGGAAAAACAATTCTGTCCCTTCTCTCAAGAATCTTATCCACTAATAAGGGGATTCATATCATTAACATTTTAAATACTAGGTACAGAGAAATTAAATAGAATAACATTTTGATAAATGATTTGAGTGACTGACTTAAGTTGATTAGTCAAAGAAAGTGCTTTTGAAGAGGTGACTTTTGATAGATAATTAAATAATGAAAAGTGTGTTAAGAAATGATTGGAAGATACAGATTCTAATACTAACTCCGATGTGTGAAGAGGTTTTTTCACAGCAACGAGCAGTCCCAAGACATCAACTGGCTGCAGTTTCTCCTCTCTTGTTTCCAGATGTAACAATTGTTGCTATTTCGTGCCTTGCAAAGTGCAGTAAAATTCGTTTGTATTTAGCCCATCTTTGCATTGCTGCTGCCCCCTTATGTCCAAACTGTTCATGGACCAAGGTGGCCACCTCAAGGGAGTACACAAAGAGGTTTATATTGTGGTTTCAATCACCATCTGAACCTTGAAGTAATTTTCCTGATGGGCGTCAATATATCCTACTTTAATGTATCCTTGAAACCCCAGAGTGAATCCATAGGGCCATGTTCCACACAGGTAATTCTTTATTACCCCAGTTTTCCATTGCCTGTCTACCTGATCATACAGCTAGGTTGATGGCTACTGCCCATGAGTCAGTAAAAACACAAACACAGAGGCTTTACCATTGCTCAAATCTTCCATCACTGCTAGGAAACTGCATGTAGTCCAGCCCATTGAGTTGATTTATGTTTACTTTCTTCAATGATAGTCTTTCCATGCACTGGTCTTAAGGTAGCAGCGTTCCAAATGGGATGTTGTCCATTCATCTTGGCACTGCCATCCATAAACCAAGCAGTTTTTTGTTGTTCAATCAAGAGCTGTTCATAGGACATTGTCCATGTGGCAATCAAAATCTTTGCAATGACTATTTATAGTAGCTTTATTCATAATTGCCAAAACTTGGAAGCAACTAAGATGTCCCTCAGAAGGTGAATGGATAAATAAATGGTGGTAAATTTAGGTAATAGAATATTATTCAGCATTAAAAATAAATGAGCTATCAAGCCATGGTGTGACATAAAGGAGTCTTAAATGAAAGATATCAATCTGAAAAAGGCTATATTCTATATGATTACAATTCTATGACATTCTGGAAAAGGCAAAACTATGAAGATATTAAAAATATCAGTGACTTTAAGGGCTAGGGGAAAGAAAGGATGAATAGGTAGGTATAGCACAGAAAATTTTTACCGCAGTGGACAATTCTATATTATACTATTATAATGGACACATGTCATGATACGCTTGTCAAAACCCATAGAATGTACAATACTAAGACTTAACCATAATGTAAACTATGGACTTTTGGAGATAAGGATATGCCAAAATATTTTAAGCGATTGTAAGAAATGTACCACCTTTTGAGCGCTAATTGTAGGGAAGGCTATGTATGTGTGGGAGTATATCAGAGAGTATAAAAAACTCTGTAACGTCCTCTCAATTTGCTATGAGCCTAAACTGTTCTAAACTAAAATTTACCTAAGTAAGTAGATACATAGATGATATATAGATATGTAGATTAATAAAACAAATTAAAAATAAATGGAATGTTTGCGACAAAGAATGAGCTGAATAAAATCTGATACAGATAACATGCTAAATTTGTGAAAATCAAAAAAGATTAGATATTGAAATTGGATTTATCCATAACACTTAATACTTCTTCATAGTCGTAAAGTGAAATTCAAGTTAAGTGTATAATAAATGATATTTAAAATATGAATTTCATTTTCTGAAAGTTAAAAACTACCTACATTCTCTCAATTCTAATATACTCTTTTAACTGTCATCATGAATAAATTGAGATGATTTATATTATATAAAGCCAAGTTAACAACAAGCAATGTATAAGATTGAGGAATGGGGAATTGGAGGAAAGTAGCTAAATGTACAAACTCCTCGTTATAAGGATTAGGGGTGTAATGAACAACATAATGACTACAGATAATGTTGCTATATGGTATATGGAATGTTCTTATAAGAGTAGATCATAAGGAGAAAATTTTTCCTTTTTTGTTATATTTTTATGAGATAGTAGATGTTAACTAAACCTATTATGGTAATCATTTCACAATATATGTAAGTCAAACTATCATGCTGCACATCTTAAAATTATACAATGATGTATGTCAATTATTTCTTAATAAAACTAGAAAAAATAACAGATGCTGAAATTCTCCTCAAAATTAACGTTCCTTCTTAAATAGCTACTTTGATGAAGAATAGTCTTGTTGGATGGGAAATTTGTATGTAGGTTTTCAGTTGACCACCATAATTTTCTATTTCTATTCCTTTCCCTTTATTTTATATATTTTTCCAAACTAAGATTTTCTAAAGTGTATATTATTCTTGAAGCAAACATCACCTAAATTCTAGCTGTGGCACATACTTACTTGTACAAAACTTCTATATTGGTTATATAAGATCAAAGACTATATTATAAGCTAAATTTTTTTAAATACCAAAGAATATATGATAAGCCTAGTCTCAACTGTAGTCCCAATTTCTGTACAATAGAAGAAAATTTAAAATTTTCAGATATATACTTTGCCCCTGATTA